ATACTTTGACTTATTTCCACGCTGCCGACAGTGGGACTTATATTCATTGTGCCGACAGTGGCTTGGAAAACCCATAACCGTGTCACACGGGGAAGAGGGAAGGCGGCTGGAGTTCCTCCAACATTTGCGGTTAGATTATCATATTTTTTTATTGACAAAAATATAGGCTGCTTCGGCTTATTTTTTTGTGCGCACATGTGCCCCTAAATATTTTTTACAGTTCGCACACACCTATTTTTAATCGCAAATGCGAGTGAAACGCTCGCACTGTCGAGCGCTGTACCCCTCTGGTGTCAGATTTGGACGTTCAGGGAGGGTGTGTTAGGCCCAATCCCATTTCTACCCCTTAGATCTTCCACTTGGTATTGAGTGCCCTCGTTTGTGAGATAACCCTTGATGAGGGAAGTGAGAAATATTAGGGTAGAGATCTTTCCCTAAGAAATGAGACACCACTTCGTGTAAATTGGTGTGGCCGACGTGCAGGCATATGTCTCATGTATTAAGTAAGTAAGTAAGTAAGTAAATTTTATTTACTGTGGCAACACAAGATACCGGTAGTCATTCAGGTTTGAAAATGCGGGCTCCAGTGCTTGTGTTGTGGCGTGTGCTATGTTTATTCTTCTCCATCTGATGAATCAACAGAGAAGAAAAGCTGAAAACAGGAGGCGCCTATGACGTCTTCTAGTTCTGATTGATTTTGTTCAGGTAAGTCGATTTGTTTAAATATTTTGACGCTGCGTTCAACCGAGTTGCTGATGACTTTACGCTAGTCCAACCATCTGTTGTTTGCAGTAACAAATTGTTTTCCAAAACTTGTCAAAGTTGCTGATTTCGCAAGGTGTTCTGGGAAATTTCATCTTCCACTTCGTTGAAAGTGTGGGTCAGGGCTCCCTTGAGATCTAGGGTGGGTTTTAAGTGTTGGAAACCACTTCCACTACCTCCATTCTGTTTTGGGACACCACTAGCCTAAATGTGAGCGCACACAACCAAGTGCAAGTGGGTATTTCTAGGGGAAGTGTGGGCATTGGGACAGGCCCTTAGTTTCTCCTTGGTACATCACAACAGTGTCTTAATTAAAATTAAAAATTAACTTCCATGTTCAGGTTTTTGTCACCAAAACTACTTTAGGTTGATCAAAAAAAACTACTTGGTTTGGTTCAGAAAACACATCATATTGGGCTAAAATAAGTGTGTTTGTTATGTAACTCAAGTAAGTTTAACAACTATGTCATGTAACCTATGTGACATGTCACGTGACACTTATGTCATGTGTGACCTTAAAGGATAACTTTGTCATTTTTTTATCCTGGACCCTATTTCCACATGTCAAAGAGGCTGATGTGAACAACAATTTTTGGTCCAGTATTGACAGAGCGGGCAGCGGTCGGCAGCCGTAGGACGGGGTGCAATGGGAGCACATGGGGCTACACAGGCTCAGATTGTTATAAGTGTCTGAAGTGTCTCTTTACCTTTCAGCTTACGTTAGCTGAAGCTATGCTAGCTTTTTGTGCATTGTGGTGCACACAGGGATGCAAAATGTGACGTTAAAATGAGGCTCCAATGTAGATAATTTTGTGACAAAGTACAGATTTAAGATGATGTTTAGTTGAGGTGCTTTGAGGCAAGTAGCAGATACACACGCCCGCGATGACGTAACTATGTTAACGAACATTTAAGCAACACTTAACTGCAACTTGGCAATGATGTAGCTGGCCACGCTGTTACTTTGTTGTTCACAGTGTGAACACAGCGTAACAATCTGAACTCTTAAATAGATGTGATGTGAAATATGCAATTTTTCAGTCTTGACCTGAAACGATTAGTTGATATTTGCTTAATAATATCATTCATTTTTAAAGGAAGATGTCGTAAATTCACAATGTTTGCTGGATTTCTTTATCTTCTGTGATCTATTAACTGAATATCTTATTATTAATCTTTTGGCGTGTTGGTCGGACAAACAACTAATATGAATATGTCAACTTGGATTTAGGGAAGTTGCATTTTTTGCCATTTCTCTCTTTATTTTCTGAACAATTAATTAAGAAAATAGTTGACAGATTGCTTGATAATAAAACTAAATATTAATTGCTTCAATCTTCAGTCAAATCATGTTTCATGACTTTGAAATTCAAATTGAAACAAACAAAAGACTCCACTGCAGCACTGAAATCAATTCAGCCAATTCAGATAAATAATCCACTGAGATGTGAATACAGACGTTTTATGAGCCGCCTGCTGCTGCAAAATGCAAAAGAGGAAGTTGGTGAAAAGGCCGACGCTGAGTGAAAAGGACATATGGAGCTGGTGTGAGGGCGAGGACACCCGCGTCAGGTGGAAACATATCCAGGTCGTCTCCACAACAACGGAGGCACACGCGATCCATCAGCAGGGAAGTGTCGAGAAAAATAAATGGTCTGAATGAGGCCGGGGAGGGTGAGTCATCTATCTGAGGGCGCGAGGGCCCGCTGCAGGTGGAAATGTGTCTGATGGTGAAGTTGTGATATTGTGAAGGGGACAGAAGGAAGAATGGCTGTCGTAGAACCTGAGAAGGACATCCTGAAAAAGGTTCAGGTATAAAAGATGCTCTTGGAGAATAGAGACAGCTGTTGTAGAAAGGAGGTGACCATTCTTTTGTGGAGCTTGACATGTGTCAGTTAGATAAATGACAGGAGGTGACCTTGACAGTCAAAGCACTTTGAGGGAAACCTGTCCGTCCGCTCAGTTTATGTAAAGCATTCTTTCAGAGGTGAAGGTAGGAGGTGTTCACGTTTGTGTGTGTGTTTGGTCGGACTTACACTTCCAAACAAATGTAGTGAATCAACCATGAGCTGACCTTTTGTGCTAATAACCTTCTATTTTTTAAAAGGGTCCTTTCATCCCATAGATTTTAAGTTTAAATTGAATTTCTTTATATGGATTAGAAAATACAACTGAGACATGGACAAAGCTGGCAGCACATCATGAGGCACGAGAGTGTTCATATTTGTGTATTATCATTGCAAAACAAAATAAAGTTCGGGCCTAGAGGTTACGGCACTGACCATGAACTTCAGTGTTGCTGGTTCAAGTGCCTACTCAAGGCAACAAGTTTATCTTGGGTGTGTCGGTACAATGGACAACCAAGAAAGGACAACAGAGGAGATACCCATACATCAATGCAACTGGGCTGGACAACCACTAATGCCTGGTACACACTACACAACATTTCTGTCCGTTCCGACAGTCACTATGTCACATTATGCGATTGTGGAGTCATAAAATCGTGCCGTGACTTGGCCGACAGACATGACACACTACACGACGGTCCACGCCAATCATCCTTGGTCGTCCTTCACGACGTGTGTGATGTCATCGGGTTATTCTTGTCCTATTTTTATTACTTTTACTATCATTTCAGTCACTGTGTCTGTTCATGTGCCCGCTGAAATGTTGTTGTAGTAACGTAAAAAGTGCCAGCAGATGGCAGGAGCTACATTTGAAGTACCGTACGCAAATGTGCCAGTCACTGAATCCTCCACAACAAGTTCCTGCGAATGTTTCACAATAAAAGCCTTTTTGGAAAATGAAGGGATTCTCTCAGCCGAAGTTATAAGGGACTTTTAATTTGAAACAGATACAGGAAGTGTTGAGTTTGAAATGACTGGCAGTACTCACTGAGTTGCTAAAGTGCCTCTGCTGTTTCACGCCATCATTTTTCCATTTTACTCTGTGTGCTAACGTCCCTCAAGGAAATATCTCAAACCCTGGGGTGTTGTTGACGTACAGTTGTCTATGGCAGCAGATCGCTCTGTGTTCCTATTGGTCAAAGTGACGGCTATGACGGGAGCAGTCATGAACGACAAAAAGAAAATCAAACATGCTAGATTTTCTGTCGGGATGTCTTAAGCGTCCCAGACATGGCGTCAGTTGTCGTCTACTATGACACACTACACAAGATGAAGCGATGGATTATCTCATATGACACTCATTGTCGTTCACGATCCGAGCAGACACTGTACGACGTTGCGTCGGGCTAGGATCGGGCTGATATTGTGTGCTCAAAATGCAAAAAATTATTTTAGAAAATGAATAAAAACAGCAGCAAAGGTTTCAGTCCTTGTGCAGCACTGATGATAGTCAAGGACTGAAACGTTTGCTGCTGTTTTTATTAATTTTAACAACTATTTTTTGCCGTTTGTGCACGGATGCCCTGAATAAATTGACTTTTTTTGCATTGATCTCAGTCTGTAAACCTTTTTGGTGGCAGTCCAGCCCAGTAGCATTGATGTGTGGTTATCTCCTCTGCCAACCTTTGTTGTATGTCATTCTCCATTCTCCTAATACAACCCTGATTCCAAAACAATGTGTTGAATGTAAATTAAAACATAACGGTAATATATATACATAATGGTTTGTAAATCGTTTTCAACCTATATTCTATTAAATATAGTACAACAACAAGATATTCAATGTTCAAACTGATTGAACTAACAACATTGTTTCCTGTAGCTACACACCCTTTCTGAATTTGATGCCTGCAACACGTTCCAAAAAAGTTGGCACAGGAACATGTTTACCACCGTGTTACATCACCTTCTCTTTTACAACACTCAGGAAGCGTTCGGAAAGTGAAGTTTTGAAAGTGTAATTTCTTTCCCAAGATTCACAAATGGGCCCTCAAAATCTCTTTAAAATTTAAAGGTAGATTAGTAGTAGAGTAGAGAGTAGTAGAGATTAGTGTCTCCATACAGGAAGCGTCTTGAAGCTGAGCAAACACACACTTCTCCAACATACATGTCAGACAGCGTTTTTAACACTTTATTCCTGTGTCATTCCACTTTATTGCACGTAATTTTGTGGATTGAAATGTTATAATTTCTGGGCTAGGGTTAGAGGTTAGTGAATACCAATGTCTGGTGTAAATTTTGCCTGAATTAGTTGACACTGATCTAACCTCGCCGTGTGTGAGTAACAGACGAGGTTCAGGTGAATGTGTGCATCACAGTGTTTCTTCCTACCTTCGGGGGGCATCAGGGCCTTGTTGTTCTGGGTGCACCAGCCCACTGGGTGCAGCTCGGCCGTCATGACATCACACCAGAAGTCGGCCTTACGGTCCTCACCGTAGCCACTGAAGCGCAGCAGCAGCAGCTGGCCGCACGTGGTGATGATGGTGGCCACCCAGTATGTGTCTGGGCTGCTCTTATTGGCCACTTCCAGCTTCATGCCGGGCTGAAAGCTGCTCTGCAGGCTGATCTCCACCTGAGAGACACACAAATGTTTTAGTTGTCTTTTCCGTAGATTTTAATAACATGTCGAGGGTTGACTATGATCACTGAACTGTGCACACACAACCAGAGTAAATGTGGCAGGTCAAAGGTGAACCAGGGAGGAAGTTTATGGACAGATTGAGTAACAAGTTTGATGTTTGTTTTGGTTTGTTTGCAGTTTGTGTGATTGCTCATGATCTGTGCTCTGGTGGACTCCATCTACTGTTGGTGCCACGTCTACATGCACATCGCGGGATCCAATTTGGTGAGTAAATGTTACCAAAACCAACAGGAGTCATGGCCAGACTATAAATATTTGACCCCAAAACGTTTTTCTTGATAAAAATAAAGTGTTCATGACTAAACAAGGACCACAAACTTCAGAGCTGAAATTCAGAGATACTCATCCTTGGTTTGTTTATATTGAACAGTTAAATCTCAGTCATCAGCACTGTGTGGGTGTGGTGTTATCAGAACTGATTGGCATGACAGTGGCCTGATAGGAAACAGACGTCAAGCTGAAAGGGGAACTCCACTAATTTCACACATAAATGTCACTTGATGGGAAAACATAAACACGGCCTGTGAAAAAACTTGTTTAGTGTCTTCTGCGTGTCTGAAGGAGCTTTGTAAAGGCTGAGAAAAGAACGCTGATGATATCGACAGGGTCAACTTGTCTTGAACTTGAGATTCGGAATTAATAACAGAAAGCCTGTGTTACAAGCTGAGAGCGTGGAGACACCGACCGCAACTGCATTTTGAAAAATGTGGGATCAAGTGTTTTTGGAGCTCGAATCATACTTGTTCTCGAATTTGGCCCTCTTTATTTTCTAAGCTGTCCCTGAACTTGCTACAATACCTCTTAAATTTCAAGGAACTAAAACAGTTAAGAAACGCTTGACACATGTGTCACATCACTGCAGGTTAAAGGATAGTTCACATCTTTTGAAGCTGAGTCAGATTCAGCTTTACTGATTGAGAGATTGAGAGAGCGCGCTCTCAATACATACACAGAACTGGAGTTGTATGAGGTACTTATCCATAGTCAGTGTATTACCTACAGTTGATGCCCAGTCAGCACAACCCCAGTTTGGAGAAGCAGTTGCACCACAGAAGCTAAGGGATGTACTGCTGTGGATGGGGCTGCAGCAAAACGTATTTTAGCCACCTAAAAAACTCAATATCAGTTCATCTTTACGCTATATTTAGAATATTTTCTCCACAAAACCGCCAGACACCATTGACTAAAACTATAATTTTAGCTCGCTGAACACGGGAGCTGCTGGTCGACCGCTGCCTTGATCGGTTAGTTTGTTTGTGTTATCATGTAGGGTTCCCACACATTTTCATGGACAAAACGTCCAATCTCTTCCATGACTTTTCAAGGACTCATGATACAGATTTTGTTTTTTCTAGCCCCACTTGTCTGGCATTTTTAAAACACTTCAGATCTCAAACTCTGTTACTGTTCAAACATATTATCAGCTAGCTGGCATACAGGAAAGCAAAGATGAACCCAGGGAGAAGTGGATGAAATGTACGCAGTAGTAAACAAAATGTCACACATGCAAGGATATTGGAGCGATGTAAGGTCGACAGCTACAGAAAATTAATTTGCCTTTATGTTACATTGCGTGGAAGCTTACCCACAGAAGATTATTATAACAATTTTATTTTACACACCAAAATTACATGACCTTTTCAGAACTTTCGATGATTTTGTCTAATTTCATGACTTTTCCAGGCCTGGAAAATGTGATGGTGAAATTCCATGACTTCTCCAGGTTTTCCTTGACTATGGGAGCCCTATATTGTGTGGCTTTGGTGACTCTGTACTAGGGTTGTCATGAGAACCGATACTTCGGTACCAAGTCGATGCCAACACGCGAAAAACAAATCCGTATGTTTTTTGTTTTTTTTCAGTACCGTAAGTACCGGATACAACTTTGCCCTCAGTGGGCCGTGTCAGTTCCCATCTGATCTGAAAAGTAACTACTAAAGCTATAATCTTTTTGTTTGTTTTGATAATGAACACGTTCCTTTGCAACACATACATTTCTATTTCTTCATTTTGTGACCACAACACCAAGCCCCCCGCTCCGGAAAAGATTTCAGATTTCAGGCACACAAATCTTCCGTGCTCCACATTTCAGGCACAAAATTTTTTCTTGCTTTAACCCCTGCAAATGTTTAGTCTAGTCAGTGGTGAGAAGCAAGACTCTTCCATTAAAGTTAAGTGTTGACAGAGAAACATTTACAGGTGAGGTTTAATTAACAACAAGAATAATCAATGAGCCTGACGACTCTTAAAAAACAACCTGAACTTAAAGCTCTGCGCCAAACAACAGCCTCTGTGCTTGTCCTTGTGCACAGAGAGCGATAAATCTGTACGACAGTGAATGCAGCACAGCGTAATGCGTTTCCACCATAGCCACAGGCTGCTTTACAATTCTTGAGAACACTACAAGCCCAACAGGATGTTCACATTCAACACTCACACAAATGCACACACTCACGATTGAATGGAAAAAGCCAACATCTTAGAAATAAACACAATACAAATGGCCCTGTGACTTCCTGCTACAACAATGCAAACGTGCTGTATCACTCTGACTCGGCTTATGTAAGAGAGCTACGGGGCAGCCTTGGCAGTGTTTGTGTGTGTGTGTGTGTGTCTGTGTGTGTCTGTGTGTGCAGGCCCAAGAGAAATCACTGTTTCAATTTGTCCAGGCACACAGAGAGGGAGAGAGAGATGAGGGCTGCACTTTACTGAATCACATTTTTCTGAGGAATTCATGGTTTGTTTCCCACTGACTCAATCCACTTACCAACAAAGCAATTTAGCTTCCCAGGAGACCTCGCCCGCTCCAAATCACCACATAGACACTTTCTCCGACATCGAGGCTTGCTCATGAAAACCCACGTATTCTTAATCTCGCCTTTATTACCATTCATCTGAAACACAGACTCGCTCTTTTAAACCTTAAATTACCAGCAGACACGTCTCCACCTTTTTTGCGGCCTGTCCTGCCGGCAGCTGTGAGCCTCATCGGGGCAGACAGCTGAGGTGGATAAAGGCCTAGCATCCAGGATCAACTCTACTTGCCCATCTGGCCATCTCCTGTGATGTAACATGTTAATGGAGGCAAAACCTGGTTTGGTGACAGGCCGAGGTTTTTGGGGGATTGCTAGCAAAAGGTATTCGCTGATAATGTTCTAATTAATATTCTAACATGCCATAAAATACACTTAATGTTCCCAGTAGTGCTGGAAAAAGTATTCCAGTCCAGTCACCAGGACATGTTGGCACTGTACGTTTCTGCAAACCGTGACATTTGTATGTTTCATACGTATCATATCAAAGTTTTGACATAATATATGAGCTGACTTTGACAGCGAGAGGTGGAGGAGATGGTAGATGGCATGACATTAAGGTAAGACGCCTGCCGAGCTGCAGATCTTGTAGACTGTTTGAGACCGACAAACTAGCAAAACCCAATTTTTGATTTAGCCAGTCGCTGCTGTGTTTCTGCCAGCTTTTTAGGCTCCAAACGTGTATTTTTTTGTAGTGACCCATCAGTGTGTTTTCATTGGCTCTTTAGGCTCCAAGCCTGTGTTTTGTAGCAACCTGTCTGCGTGTTTTCATTGTCTTTTAGCAAACTATGGGTGTGTTATCATCAGCGTTTTAGGCATCCGTCGTTGTGTTTCCATCGGCTTCAAACGTGTTAGTTAGCAACATGTCGATATGTTTTCCTAAGCTTTTAAGGCTCAAAATTTTGGTGTTTTGTAGCAACCTGCCAGACCTTTTTAGACTCCAAATGTGTGTGTGTGTGTGTTTTTTGTTTTTTTTTTGACCCGTCTGTGTGTTTCCCTCAACTTTTTAGCCTGCAGACGTGTTTTGTAGCAACCAGTCAGTGTGTTTTCATCCATTTTTAGGCTCTAAACATGGGTGGTTTGTAGTGACCCATCAGTGTGTTTTCATTGGCTCTTTAGGCTCCAAGCCTGTGTTTTGTAGCAACCTGTCGGCATGTTTCCATTGTCTTTTAGCAAACTATGGGTGTGTTATCATCAGATTTTTAGGCTCCAAGCTAGGGTGTTTTGTGGCACCCGTTGTCATGCTTCCATCAGGTTTTTAGGCTTCAAACATGTATTAGTTAGCGACATGTTGATGTGTTTTAATAAGCTTTTTAGGCTCAAAATGTTGGTGTTTTGTAGCAACCTGCCAGACCTTTTTAGACTCCAAACGTGGGTGTTTTTTAGTGACCCGTCTGTGTGTTTCCCTCAACTTTCTAGCCTGCAGAAGTGAGTTTTGTAGCAACACGTCAGTGTGTTTTCATCCACTTTTTAGGCTCTAAACATGGGTGGTTTGTAGTGACCCATTAGTGTGTTTTCATGTGCTTTTTATGCTCCAGAATTGTGTGTTTTGAACGACCTGTTACTACGTTTCCATCAACTCTTTAGGCACCAAACATGGGTGTTTTGTGGCAACCTGCCAGAGTGTTTCTTAGACTCCAAACATGGGTGTTTTATAGTGACCCATAAGTGTCTTTCCACCGGCTTTTTAGGCTTCAAAAGTGGGAGTACTGTAGTGACCAGCTGGTGTGTTTCCATTGGCTTTTTAGGCTACAAATGTGTGTGTTTTGTAGCAACCTGTCAGAGTGAATCCATCCACTTTTTAGGCTCTAAACATGGGTGGTGTGTAGTGACCCATCAGTACAATTTCATCTGTTTTTTTCATCTTCAATCATTAATGTTTTTTGTAGCAACCCGTCAGTGTGTTTCCATCAAATTTATAGGCTCCAAATTCTGGTATTCTGGCGATTGAGTATTCAGATCCTTTTCTTAAATAAAAGTGCTAATACCACACAATGAAAAAGTTTTGTAATCAGCATTATTTTATAAGTTCATCATATGTTTGTAGCCTCTCTGCCCTGTGAGAACAACATATCTCTAAAAAGTTTTCACGGTGTCATAAAAACAGGCCTGTTTTCA